CTTCTCTTTAATTATTTAAGGATTCTGTGAGCCCCAGAGGTGACAATTTTGCTTATTTATGTTTGCCCCAAGTGAGAAATGTGCCTCGTCGGAGAAGAATTTTTTTTCCTAAAAAACGCAAACCAAAAAAAAAAACATGTTTGGTTTGACATTTGGTTTTGAGAGCCGTCATATTATAGCTCGGTAATATTGAAATCTCAAAATCTTCATATTTTGAATTGTTTTTATTTATAGCATTTATAACTTTATGCTTATTCCAAGGCGAATTTACGGAAGGTGCAGTTGTCATATCATATGATTGCTTGTTCTTCCTTCCATTTCAACAAATTACACAAACAAATTACATAAGAAATACGTTGTGACATTTCGAACCTTCGTTTACACAAACAAAATGCATTGAGCGATTTTTGTTTTTGACTTTTCGAAACTATGATTACACAAATAAAATACATGGGATTTTTTGTTTTTGTATTCCAGCTAGTACCGTGTGTGAATTTGCCTTGGCTCATTCGACAGTATGAACAGTTCAAAATTTGTCTTTCTGTCTGTTATTTCAATTTTTGCAATATTCAAATATCCCATTTTTATTTCACATTTATGAAAATCTCGATTTTTGAACTTTACCTCTGCGTGCTCAAAGCAATTAATATTTCGCATTAAACCTTAAGCCCTAAACAGCATAAGAAAATTGATATAAGTTAAAATAATAGATTTTGATTACACTTAAATAAAGCAAATAAATCAAGTGACACTTAAAGAAATCTTAATAATTTACAATTTACTCACAGATATTCATTCCCATGTAAGAGAAACAATGCATAAAGAACATAAATTTCCAACATGAATGCACAAAGGAGAACACAATTCTTCAAGTGCACAACGTTCAGGACTCTTCTTCTTGTAGGTTATGTGTAGCAAGCAATCGAATGGCAATTGTCTAGTAGCTGAATAAATTATAACAACAATGCCGAATTGATATTATTTGCCAAAAGCAGGAAAACAAATGCAAATGTGCATACTTACATGCATACGTATGTTGGTTTACATATGGGTACCCTGCGGTGAAAAGTGAAGCTAGTATTAAACTGGTATTTAAAGTGTGAAATAAAACCATTTTATTAAGCATTCAAATTTTGGCAGAAAAATCATCTATGAGTACAAGGATTAAGAAGTCTATTTAGGCTATAATATATATATATATGTGAAAGGTTTCATGCTGAATAAGTGGCGGCTCCACCCACCGCTTAACCCACTGATCATTGGAGGGTATGTTATGTTGGGCATCCGATGAGAAATAGTTTTCCGGGCAGTGGAAATGGAATAGATATATTCGAAAAAATCGAATTTAATTTTAAAATCGTTCGAATTATTTTACTTTTTTGCCTAAAATGATTATTTATTATTAATTTTATTATTAATTATTATTCTAGTAGGAGAACTTGTGTCTTATCTGTTCGAAATATTTTTATTTATTATTTGATTTATATAAAATTTGGTACAGTGGTAGCTTCCGACCAAAAATACCATTGGGGATAGTTAAAAAACCAATTCCTTAGCAAAAGTGCTGTCAAAGAGAAAATGCTCTCCAACAAATGAACAAAGACATATGTATTAACAAATTCTTTCAAGTATAGAAGCAGGGCTTTTGTGATATCTTTTTTTATGCTCCTGATGGAACAGGCAAGGCTTAATGTATTGCCGGCCAAAGTTAGTAGCAAACAACAGCATCGCTGCCACTTTGTTGGAGTGGTTATAGTATAATTCCCAGGCGATTTCCGACAAACTTTGTCAGTAATGTCCACGTGAACGCGAGTGAGGGGGGGGGGGAGTTAAAGCATGCTTGAAGCGATCTCATTTAAGGCTTTCAGTTGGAAAATATGAGTCTTGCCAAAAATATGACCGTCCAATTAAGAGGAGATATGACTGCCGAATAGTTCTCAAACCTGTTGCTTAATATATAGAAATATAACAGTAAAATTTTTTCCACATTATTTCGAACAATTGTTTCGGCACTCGTAGGGGTGGAATATCAGTTTAAGTGTCTTGACTCAGTGATAAACACCGACAATGCTATTCAGTATACGGTAGTGTTATTGAATATACTAAAACCTTCTGGTCTCCCAAGCGCCAATTATGTTACTGCGCAATATAAATCCACCGAAATTGTGCAATCACACCAGGTAAATATAAGAACTGTTTTCAAGAAGAATTTCTTCTAATTCCTAGAATTCCAGTCATACCATACACAAAGCTCAAAGTCAAACTCTTAAGGTAGCGGGAGTAGGTTTGAGAGAAAGCTGCTTCTCTCATGGCAAATTACAGTTGACAAACTCAGCTCACAGATGCTAAGCCTTCATATTAAAATTAAAAAATATGGTTTTGCACTGGGGGTAGGACTTCGTTTTAATAAAAATGTAAACTTAAATGATTTTTGTACAAAATTAAACAGTAACATTTGTTACTTTTATGAAGTTCGGTTAAGTTATTTAGCTTGACTTCAGTCATGCACATACACACTTACTAAAGGCTTTAGGCTTTATATGCTGGCAACTCTGTTGAATTATAAATATAACAAATCTTAAGTTCGCTTGAACTTTAAAAAAATTCACTACAAACAATTTTATTTTTAAATCGCTTTGACCACTTTCTGCATCAATTTTAAACGAATTTCAGGTGTAACGCACCAAGTATTCCCTCAAGAGTCGTCAGTCATCTCGTGCTTATCTGCCTAGAAAAGCGGCTTCACATCACCCTACAAAAAATAGTCCAGCGGCATTAAATCGAGCGATCTTAGCCGCCACGTCGCAGGCTCACAACTCGAGATAAAGCACTTACCAAAAGAATCTTCAATGAATTGATTGCTTTGTTGGCTGTATAGCATGTAGTGCTATCATGTTGACATCAACATTAACATCATCCAATTCGGGCACGAAAATCATTAATCATGGCTCTACAGCATTTCCCATTGACTGTAACATTATAGCCGTCTTAATTTTTGGATACAACAACTCCAAATCCCATAATTCTGTTCATTATCATATCCACTCAAGCTCAACTGAGCTTCATGGCTAAAAAAAAATTGTTTTGGAAATATTGGGAATTGCCCATATCGTTTGGGGCCCATTCACCCAACGTGCGACGCCTTAGATGATTATTCGGCTTACATTCATGAATGAGTTGGATTTTGTAAGCCCTCAAACTATGATCCTTCCGCAAAGTTTTCTACAAAGTGAATGCTCACATCCGTAATTGTTGCGTGCATTGGCGGATGGACTCATTCGTATCTTCTTCGATACTCTCCTTCATAGCAGCAGACTTTGGTACGCGCTGTACGTCGTCTGTGAGAATGCGTTTCATAAACTAGAATAAAAGTGGAGCGGAACCGATCCAGGGTTATTGGACGTATGTGGCGATATATTGCGCGAATCGAACTACTATTTTAGTAATCAAATTGCGGAGTTAGTTTGCTCATTATTGAATGGCAGACTAAACTAAGTATAAACCAAGCAAAAACTGCCGAAAAGCGCAGCCCAGAAAAACGTTAAGGAAATATCATAGTTAATCGACAAATTTCTATCATTCCAATTGAACGCTTGGAAATGTTGTAGTTAAATATTTTTTTTTTCATTTTTACCCAAAACGAAAGTCTCTCATTTATGATAATCGTTAACAGATAATGTTAAATCGTTAACAGATAATGTTAAATCGTTAGCAGTTGATGTTAAATCGCTAACAGCTTATGTTAAATCATTAGCAGGTGATGTTAAAGCGTTAACAGTTGATGTTAATCCGTTCACAGATAATGTTAAATTGTTGACAGTTAGTGTTAAACCGTTAACAGCTAATGTTAAATCGTTAACAGGTAATGTTGAATTCTTAACAGATAATGCTAAATTGTTGACTGCTAATGTTAAATCGTTAACAGATAATGTTAAATCGTTAACAGTTAATGTTAAATCGTTAACAGATAATGTTAAATCGTTAACAGATAATGTTAAATCGTTAACAGATAATTTTAAATTCTTAACAGATAATGTTAAATTGTTAACAGATAATGTTAAATTGTTAACAGATAATGTTAAATTGTTGATAGTTAATGTTAAAGCGTTAACAGCTTATGTTAAATCGTTAGCAGTTGATGTTAAATCGTTAATAGATAATGTTAAATCATTAGCAGTTGATGTTAAAGTGTTAACAGCTAATGTTAAATCGTTAACAGTTGATGTTGAATCATTAACAGATAATGTTAAATTGTTGACTGTTAATATTAAATCGTTAACAGATAAGTTTAAAAGTGAATAGTGAAGGGAAATCAAAGTCAGCAGCCATTTTAAAATTGACGTTAATTAATTAATTTTCCTGAGAAGCAAAACGGAAGGATATCGTTGCGATTGTTGAGTATCTCTGATATAAACATAGTTATGTTATAAAGTCCAAACTGCTATTTTTCTGGTTAACATCGACTAGCCTTTCCTGCAAGGTACATATTATTTGAGTATGTATAGAGACTCATGAATGCTTGTAGGTATCTTCTTGTGTTTGACTAATTCAATGAACTTTGTGACTTTCTTCTCACAATAATAGTTCATCAAAATAACAGTGAAATGAATTTGTAGTATCTAGTAGTAACAGCAGACAAAATGCAATAGAAAATAAGCATGCTGATCTATATGCACATACAAACATATTATAGTTATATTGTACATACGAGTAATTTTTCTCTCTCAAGAATTCTTCGACCGTGAAGTGTAGATGATTATTGCATTAAAAAGTATTAAAATCAAATTAATAGAAACACACAAGCACACATAAGTATATATATATATATACATATTTCAAAAGTGAAAAATTACATACAGGAAAAAGATAAAACAAATATCCTTACACTCGTATGTACTCGTATAAGTGGCAAAGAAAAATGGCGCAAGAATAATAAATCTCTGCCATTATTTAACCGCCAAAGCAGCGTTTGTTTAACAGATAATGTTAAATAAAATGGCGCAAGAATAATAAATCTCTGCCATTATTTAACCGCCAAAGCAGCGTTTGTGCATTAGAAGAAAGACGGAGTGAAAAAAGTGAAAACAAATATTTTAAATGTTCTTACAGAAGATAAAGACAAAGGCAAAGACAAAGACAAATACAAATACAAATACAAATAAGAAGCTCAAGCGCAGTCACGGCTTAGCTACTACTCTTGGCTGGTGGTTAAAGCAAGCGGTGCTTGTCGGCGGAAATATATGTGTACATATGTATGTACGCGTGAAGATGTGCAAACAACAGTAACAACAGCAAGAAAGTGGTGTGGCGTGTCAAGAAATGGTGGCAGTAGAAATTTAAACGGCTTACAGACGCATTCGAAATAATACAAATACACACACATGTGGAGATAAATGCTTACACTTACATGTGTACATATTAATTTGGCTAAACAGTGCAATCTTAGTTTGTGGTGAGTAAGAAATATATTATGTGTATATATTTGCTAAACAAACCAAACGTTTATGTAAGCTATAAAAGCATTAAATAATAGATAAATAATTTATAAAATTATTTTAACTTATGGCCCAAATATTCAAAACTAATCTACTGAAATGGGGTTGGTGTTGTGGTAATTTTCATATAACTTTAAGACTTTTTGAATAAAAATAGTAGTTTTTCATTTTTATTCATTAAAAGTCGACATTCAACGTACATAAATTAACTAGTATTTAACTAGTATAAAGCTGATGCATAAATAAATAGTTTGCATTTCATCGAATATCGCCGCCCAGTAGGATATTCGTCAATTCCAGTGGAGCTTAACCTCCTCCCATAAATCGAATATAATTTATATGGCTTCCATAATATTGAACTTTCACCAAAACTCTACCATAGTTGGTTTATCTTGCCCATCAGTCGCACTTATAAAAAGTTTGAAAGGTTCATCGACTCGATGTCAAAACAATGCAACATCGAAATGAAAATTAGTACTAATTGAGCAGCGGCGCAACTTCGTTCAAATGCAAAACGAAACGAAGCAAGGCGAAGTCCAGGTGTAAACGAAATTTCTGAAACATAGATCATTGATATTGATGATAACCGAGTTATAATATTGGGTACATGAAAAAATTGTTATACATTTAATGTTCATAGTATTACCTATCGGAAGCTATGATGTTTGCCTATCTTTCTGACAGTTTGTGGATCCCATCCCAAAAGAACTTCTCCGGCTTGTAGGTCAAGCAAGAATCGAGACAATTTCTGTTACCCTGTTCTGAAGTGAAGCGTACTCCGGTGAGGGCATTCTGCATTGGTCTGAACAAGTGGTAATCGGAAGGTGCTATGTCTGGGCTATAAGGCGGTTGAGGTAGCACTTCCCACCCACAGTTTTGCAAATAGTTTTTAACTGGCCTTGCAGTATGTGGCCGAGCGTTGTCATGATGACAAATTATTGATACGTGTCTGGTCGCATATTCTGGTCGTTTTTCCGCGATGGCCTTTTTCAAATGAATCAATTGTTTTCGGGAGAGGTCTCCATTGATCGTCTGACCCGATTTCAATAGCTCATAATAGAGCACACCCTTGTGGTCTCACCAAATACATAGCATAACCTTGGTCCCTTAGATATTCTTCTTTGCCGTGGATGTCGATGGTTAGCCGGGCGCTTTGGCTTATAATAATGAATCCATTTTTCATCGCCAGTGACAATCCGATGCAAAAATGACTTAATTTGGGAACATTGGAATGGACGTTCGATGTCTCTTGGCTTTAATTCATAAATCACCCATATTCCAAGTTTCTGGATGAATCCTAATGATTCTAATCGTCTGGAAACGGTTGCTTGATCAACTCCTAATACTTTTGCAAGTTCTTCTTGCAGTTTATTTGGTACAAATTTCGACATTTTCAAATGAATGTTAAGTCAAGATCCGTTGGTTCGATCCTTGCCATAAGAAGTCTGATGAGGAGATGTAGTGATTTAAGCAACAGCTGTCACTTCTAGCATTTTTCTCGTTTCTGAAGCGGATTGTGACTGGCGATGAAAACTGGGTCACTCGCGATAACAACGAGCACAAACGGTCGTGGTCAATGCTCGGGGAACCGGCACAGACGGTGGCCAAGACCAGATGACGGTCAGTAATCATCTACTGCGAGCTGCTCCCCTATTGCCTAACGCTCAATTCGGCCCTCTACTGCCAAAAAATAGACCGCTTGAAGGCAGCACCCATCCAGAAGATGTCATCGTTGATCAACAGTGGCCGAATTGTGTTCCATCAGGACAACGCCAGGTCACACATGCCTTTGGTGACGCGTCATAAGCTCCAGGAGTTCGGATCCTAATGCACCCACCTTATAATCCGGAGCTGGCACTAAGTGATTACCATCTTTTCTTGTCCATGGCGAACGCGCTGAATGGTGAGAAGAGGCCTATGAAAACTGGCTGTCCGAGTTTTTTGCCAATAGAGTCGCAGCCTTCTACGAGAGGGGTATAATGAAGTTGGCATCACGTTGGAAACAAGTTTATTTCTGAAGCTAGGTATTCAAATTATGGCGATGCCGATTCGACCTCCTTGCAATTGTCGACGAAATTTGTATTTAAACTTGACTACGATAAGACCAATAACGCCGCTTGGATATCCGGATATATAGCTGTTTTTTGTATTCCCTCGTGATTATTCATTAGCGCTCTGCAGACCTTTTCAAATACCTAGCACCATCGTTTACAAGAAGCTCACTGAATAAGGGTAAACACAAGCGGAGGAAGATTTTGAGATCTTTGCAGTATACTTTTCCGACTTTGGACCCGTCGCTGGAGTTTGAAATGTTATCTTTGCATGCAGTAACATCTAAGAACCATTAACTATTAATCGCGAAGTCTAGCGCTGGGTCCGAAACGGTTTTGGCTCTAGCCTACTCCATAAGTATTATAGTAGAACCGGCTGCTACTTGGCGAATGAAGAGGTCTTTAGGCAGTTGATACAGGAGCTTGTTAAGCGCAACTTAAGCCCATGTTCATTACGTGGAAACTTTTTGAACTCACTGTATATAGTTTTTTTTTTAACCTTTTCTCTGCACTTCGTATATATATTTGTATATATATAAATAAATATTTTTTTTGTTGAAAGAAGCGAAATAATTTAAAAAATAAATATAGAAAATTCTTAAATAATTTTGAATTTTTTTTGTTGTTCTAAATAAAAAAAATAATAATAATAAAAAAATTAAAATTTCTATTAAATAGCTGTTATAATGACGTTTTCAGACAGATTGAATTGATCTAAAAAAAAGAAAAAATATTTTCTATACATATGTTTGTAATCTAAGCCAACGCTACCATAGAAATTGGAAATTTTATATATGTATATAATTGTATTTTGAAAGTTAGTTAAGTTCACGGCGGCGCACCTCCAACCATATACATGTATATATATATATATATAAATGTGATTTTTTCTCATTACGCATTCCACTTCATTCTTAAATACTTGAAAATTGATTGTCTTGCTTCGATTGCTTTCAGACGTTGGCCATAAGATGGCGGCGCATTTCAAATCAGGTGCTCAGACAGCCGTACAATTTTGAATTATTCACGTACACGTGTTCACTCTCAGTCATTCGCACCCATTAACCTCCTGTGGTTACTTTGTGCGTGGGTGCGGGCGAGTGTATGTGTATTTGTTGGTCGGCTGACTTGGTCTGTTACTACCTGAGTGTGATGTTGCGTTAAGTAACAATTATTAAAAGAAGTTCTGTTCGTGATATTTACTTTCCAAAAAAAAAAAAAAAAATTATTTCCCTCCCTTTCTCTGTTATATGTACGAGTACATATACCCAACCTCTCCAACACACACATACTTACATACACCCGCGCTTAAACTTTTGCAGTTAATTACTTTGCTACATTCTTAATGAGCTTGACCGCATGCGACACGCACATGTAGAAAGGTTACAAGTGTTTATATGTATTTGTATATATGTATATATTTGTATAGATAAATACATATACATACATATATGAATAAATAAATATTTATGTAGGCCAATCGTGCTATTCGCGCCCTTATAAAGTGTATCTGTATGTAAGCTTGTGTTTCTGAAAATACCAAATACCTTTTAACCTCAACAAATGTATTTTTACACATTTATTCATGTTATTTTTTTAATATTCTTTTTTTTTAATTTATTTTCCATTTTTTATTTTTCACTTTCCACTTTCCATTTTTTATTCAAAAAAACTTTGCTTTGTAATTTTTACCATTCATTGGTCTCATCTTTCAACAGCCTGTCGACCTGCTCCACTTTCAGCGCACACACACACACAGTTAAGCAAGCACAAACATATGCATATATACATATGTACATATATATATGTATGTATGCATGTATGTATGTATGTACGTATGCATGTAAGTATGAACTCGCATTAACGTCAAAAAATATTCAATGCTCTCAGCAGTTGTCGGTCCGATTGCAGGACATTCACATGAATTTTCATTTTCATTTTCAGTTTAATTTTAATTTTTTTTTTTTTACCTTTATACACTTTCTTTTCTTTTGTTTTTTGTTGTTTTTTTCTTGTTAAGCTTTTGTTTCAATTTTATGAAAGAGGTAATATTTTATATGTGAAAGTGCAGTGTGTGTTTCTGACGCCTACCGTTTCATATCAGCGCATTTGGCTTCAGGATATTCATGGAATTCAATATTTTATTTTTTCAAAAAGCATAAAAAGATACACACACTTATATATATATGTAATATATACATATATGTACATGTATTCTTTAGTAAATATGCTCGGAAGATTATAAAATATGCATGCATGCAACTTACATTTAAATGTGAGCGCTTAATCCGGGGTAAGCGTCCCTAACTTCAGCAGCACAAATATTTGTTTATGATTCTTTAGAAAAGAATATTGACTTATGTATTTCCCTCATCATTTCAATCATTTTCATTTTTATATATTTAGTCATATGTTTCTTAGATATCAAAATTCGGAAAAACTATAAGGTAAGGTGCGGTTACAATGGCTCACCGTCTGTCATAGCTCAGACTATGTAAACGTGGCTGACAAGGCGTATGCAACAGCTGCTTTGCAGAATAAGGACGAATGAAAGCATGTCCGACGTTTTGAACCTAAGTGTGCTTTTTCCAATTCACAATTAGAGCGATTCTACGATCTGCGTCAATTACCGTGGGATAAGTCTCCGAAATATAGCGAATAAGGTACAATCGAGCGTACTGTGTGAACGACTAAAGATGACCTTGAACATACTGATTGACCCTTATCACGAGTGTATTCCTGGTAAATTCACCATTGATCAGCGTCAAAACTTTTAAAAGACCCAGCAAAAAAGATTCGACGCATACTACCACTTTATCGACTTTATAGCCATCTTCGACAGCAAGACCGAAACTGCTTCAATGCTATGTCTAAATTTGGTATCTCAGAAAAACTTATACGATTGT